CTCAGCCCGAGCCCCGTGCGCGAACCCGCCGTGCCATGGCGCTGCGCACCCTCCTCTCGGCTGCACCCTTACTCGGAGCCAGAAAACCCCGGAAACATCCCAGCTCCATCTGCAAGGAGATCTCTGCAAAACCAGCTGCGGTCACCGATGGTTCCCAGCTGCTGCTGCCTTTCCCCCACCCTCTCTCCAGGGCCTTCAAATTCCACTTGCAAACGGGAGTCTGAAGATGCAGATCGCAGCTGGCCGTGCACTGGCGCAGGGGTACAAGGGTACGCTGCAGCCTCACCAGGTCTGTCCATTGCATAGCCCGTTCCCACTTTTCTCTTGACAAGCACGAGTGTTTAGAGTGGCTCATCAGATATGGGTCCTGCCAGAGTGCATCAGGCAGAACTCTGAACGTGTATTGAACACTGACCTCAGTGAGTCTTTGCTGCCTAGGAAACAAACTGCCTAAAAGGACTGTAAATTCAAAGCCTTAGAGGTGGCAGGCTGGAACTTAAAGACTAGTGCCTAGAGCTGCTTGAATAATTTCCTTTAAATTTGTTTTGAACACGAAAATGGATTTAAACACCACAACCACCACCCCTTTTCCTCCCTGAAGTTGTCAACTTCTGCTTCAGCCACAATCTGAATGGACTGATTACCTTCTGCTCTCATTCTCCTGCATGATCTATAGCTTCCCTCTCCCATGGAAGAAAGGTATCCCAGGCAGGACAATGGCCAGGCACTTGTGATGCATCCTCTCACAGTAAGGAGAGATCTCAAACAGTAACAAGAGCTACTGCAGTTCAGATGAGCTCAAAGGCAGAATAACCAACATGGATGAACCAGTTTTTCAACAGACATGAGCTACCACTAGAATTTCCACTGGAAAAGTTTCTTCCCTTAATAGGAAAAAAATTTCTTCCTATTCTTCTTCTAAATGACTCTACATGGTGGTGCATGGGCCATTGAAAAATTGAAAGTGCCTGCTGTAACAAAACCAAAACAAAACAAAACAAACCCCAAAAAACAACAAATCAAAACATGGTCAGTACATGGTAAAATCACAGAATTACTACTTCTGCAAATACCAGCTGATACCTTTGCACTTGGTAACCTATGCATGGAGAAAATCCTCCCACAGAGGCTGGTGGCTTCTGCGTAGCAACAGAATGGGAAATACTTGTCTGATAATTGTCCATACTATCCTCATTACAAGCATAAATGGTGGACCTCAAGATAGAAACACATGTCTTTGGCTCCTGAGACCTGTCAAAAATACATGTTCTGAAAGTCTTCCAATATGGAAGAAAAAAATCCTGGACTGTCAGTGAAATAAAACCAGAAAAGCAACAGATACAACATTTCCATTACTGATGGGGATAAGTAATTATTAATGCACCAATGCTTGGTACAAGCCAATTGTGTAAAGAGAAACTGAAACTAACCCCAGACTTGCAAAACGCTAATCCTGAGGCTGAACAGTGCTACCATGGCCAGTGGAACTGGAATGGGAAGGTGCGCTCCACTTCACACAGCCACCCTCAGGGAGTGAAATCCTCCTCTCTGCACATCTAGCCAGTCGATAGAGATTTCTTGTAGCCAAAGAACAGCCACAGACACCACTAGACCACAGAGCATAAGAGCAATTTTGGACATCTGCCGTAGGGAGGGACAAATTACACTTCATCTGTGCATCCTAATTCCTTAGTTTCTGTAATGATGATCATTACAGTGTGGTGGGATGAGAATAGAGGTAATTTTTGCTTGTTAGCAAGATAGACAAAATAAACTTTTGTCACTAAGGATGAAGGATGGAGAGACTGTCAGGGGGAAAGTTTATTCTTGTGACAGACTAGAATATGTAAGATCGTGGATCCAGAATGGAAATCCAAGGTTGTTCTTGAGATGATGGGATGGACTGAGAGAGTTAGAGGTGCTTCATAAGAGGAAAATCTTTCCCTGCCAACAATAGGCAAAGCTTTCCCTGCCTGATATACCAAACTCTTCTCTCAGCATTAAAAGCCTTCCAGAACTCTGGATCAACTCTGAGCATTCTGCTTCCTCTAATACCTAAGCACCACTTTGTTCTTTCTGGGGTATTAAAATAATTTCACTATTGTTTAGGAAAACTGAACAAAATGCAAAAGCCCATTTTACTGACCATACATCACGGACCATATAACATCCTTGCCACACTATGTGATTTTGGAAGGAATGTGAAAAGGCTTTGTAGAGTTCTGCCACCAAATTCTATGAGAACCTGCAGACCACTGCATTTCACACAGCTAACTTCTAATTAATAAGTTATATAGTTAAGGAATGGTCTTAGCTAATTGCGTAGCATTACACATAGTGAGGTATTTTTCTGAGTGAAAAATGAATGAGCTGCCCTACAATAAGTAGTAGCCGGAAATTTGGACTGAAGCCCAAATTCAATAATAATTTATGTTTCATTAACTTCCCTGGAGTTTTAAGCTTTATTATCCCTGCTACTGACTTTATTATTAAAAATAATAATTTTATTTTAAAAATAAAAGAGTCAGGCAAAATTATTTTAATATACATAGATATAATCCTAAAGGGAGTTAATAATTTATTTTACCATAGGACAAGAAGAATAGATACTACTCTGGGTGCTCTCTATCCCCTTTTGTATATTTCCTCTGTATTTCCTACAACAAAATACCACCACAGGTCACAATAGTTCCTTTGTGAAGATATCACTAATTCCATAAGAAAACATTATTTGGTTTCTTTTTCACATATAAGCTGTTATTAAGGGTATGTAACACTATTTATATCACAATTATTTTAGCAGGAAACCTAGATTTGCAGTTTAAAATCTTGAATGCATTGTTCTAACTATAAGGAGACTTTCTCCAAGTCCTGGCTTGCAAAGCTTTGACTTAAGCTATTTAAGAAGGGAAGAAGAAAAGAAAAAAAGAAAAAGAAAAAAGAAAAAAGACTCTACTTGGCAAGAGCTTTAATTAGCAGAAATTTCCACGCTAGGAATATTATTCTGCATGAGCAGAAATTGCATAGCTCTTGCCTCTAGATGCCTTAGAGATGCCATTGATTGGCCATATTCAGAACAGGGGAATTATGTGACCCAGTGCTAATTTGAATTCCTTTACCAAACACATTTTTATTTCATCATCTCAGCTGCATAAAAGAGTCAAAGTACCAGAGCTTTAAAGACTTTGAATTCCTGCTGTTCTGCAATAAAATAAGGCAAGAAATATTAGCCATCCCTGGTTGATTCTTCAATTCTTTCCCAACAATGTCAAAGTATCAGTGTCCTACAGGTTTTAGTGCAGGTTAAAGACTGATACAAAGTGTATGCCTGAATAGAAGTTTGGAGTGAGTTAAGGAGAGGGAGAACATTTTAATGGGACATTGGTCCAAAATAGCCCAGCTTGTTTCTACCTCCTGCTGCCTCTTCCTCCTTTTCACAGGACCTTGATTGTATAGAAACAGTACAGACAAAAAACCACAAACAACAAAAGGTTCGCTCACACCCCCAGTGGAGGTCATGAGCATGCTACCATGGAGAAAAAAAAAAAGCATCAAAGGGTAGTTTGGCTTACTTATAAGCAAAGATTAATTAATAGGAGGTTTGATACTTTAGCAATGTACATTTGGGCAAATTTGTATTTGCAAATTGTTTGTTTCACACATTCAAAGGGCACAGAGCAATGAGGCCTGGTGCTAATTTTAAAAATGAATCAAACCTTTCTTTGCTATGATCCAAAAACTACAAACTTGTGGTTCAGAGGCTTTCAATGGTATCTGCTCAGACTTGACACTCCAAGGTTAAGAGAGAAAAGCACAAAAGAGTTGTGTTATACACAGCAACAGTAGCTTTTTCCAACAATTTTTCAATTATTGCTTTGTATAATCTCCAAAAAAAGTAACTGTCTTGGCTACTAGAGATAAAGCTTTTAAAACGAAGGCAGAAATTTAAAATTCCCTTAAAATATACCCCTCTTCTTAGAGGTTGCCTTATAGATTACTGCTATTCATTACACCAGCATTTATACCCACTGGATGACTACGATTCAGAACTACCTGTGTCACATGAAGAATAAATGCAACACGCACCATTCACTTTTAAATCAACCCCCTCCGACCTAAGCCATGTAAATCCTTCAGAAATTCACACCAGTATTCTCCTCCTTCAAACCACACATAGAAACAGTCCAATGACAAAAGTTTACCCATGCACAGCCCCTTTAACCCCGACCATTTAAGTATCTGCTTGGAATTATCAGTGACCCTTGCTGCACTCCCGGCTAGCTCACACTGGCTCTTCCAGAGGACGGACCCACGGGCACTTCTCTTTTCTCAGGGGTCCTTGAAATAAACACTATTCACAGCGTTGCCTTCACAAGACAGCACTGTCAGTTCTGCCAGCAAAGGGGAAACAGCAAAGACTCTTCCACTTTCGGCACGTATATCACACCCTTCCCGTGTCATGCTGCCTCTGCCACCCACTCATCCTTCCGTGCCCTCACCGCCTGCCCGCCCTGCTTGCTATCTGTTGCTTCTATCTTTCAGAAATTATTCTCAAGCCCCCCCGCCTCCCGGCTGGCGCAGGCAGCCAAGGTGCCGTCCTGCCGCAGCGCTCCATGCCGCAGCGGCGGCGGTGACATGTGTCTCTCATCAGCAGCTGGGCGCTAATTAATTTAGATCCTTTTCCCGCTACGCTTTAAGGAGCGGGGAAGCCCCACGTCGGAGAAACGCAGCGTCCCCTCCCGCAGCCCCCCGCACCCGGAGCACTGGAGCTGCCCCCGCTCCGCCGCCCCCGGCCCGCAGCTCCTCGCCCCCGGGCCCGGGGATTGGCCCGGCGGAGGCGGCATCAGCGGCGTGGGGGGGCCGCCCCCACCCTCCCTCCTCCTCCCTGGCCCCGCCGCCCCCTCGCCCCGGTGCGGCAGGGCCAACCGGGAGACCCAGACGCAGGCAGAGACCCAGCCGCCGCCGCTCCGCGCCCGGCCAGCCGCCCGCAGCATCCCCCGATGGCCGCCCGCCTGACCTGCTGCCTCCTGCTGTGGGCCCTGGGCCATGGGGGCTGCCGCTCGCCTGAGGGGGAGGGCGCCGGCAGCCCGCCCGCCTGCCCCGTCCAGCCGCCGGCCGGCCCGGCCTCGTCCACCCCCGGCCGCGACCCCCGGCGCGGCTCTTCGCCGCCCCCTGGGCTGGGCAGCATCGCTCAGGACATGGTAGCTGTCCACATGCTTAAGCTCTACGAGAAGTACAACCGGGAAGGGAGCCGGCCCGGCGACGGCAACACGGTCCGCAGCTTCAAAGCCAGGCCGGGTAAGACGGGCCGGGCGCGGGGGACACCGCTGGAGCCCCCTCGCTCCTCTTTCGCTTTAAAGTGACGGGGTTGCGTCGAGGTTGTCACTGACTGCGGGCGGTGTCGTTCTGGGTGAATGCTGGGGATCCCTTGCTACCTACACGGACAGGGTGTCACCCCTCGCTTTGCGAGGCTTCCCACCTTCCCTGGCTCCCTTCCTTTCCCGGAGAGCACCTTCCCTGGGAAAGTCTCCGTTGCTGTGGATGCAAACCAGCGGCAAAAGAAGCGCCGTTCCCAGCGCACATCGCACTGGGCCAAAAGATCTGTTCAGAAATACTTGGAGCATAAGCCTAGTAGCGAGTGCTCCAGGCACTGGTCCTCTCTCCCCGGCTCCTCTGGCAGCCTCAGAAGTTCCTGCTAGGAAGAGTGCCGCCTACAGGACCGCCTAAAATTGCTCGGCATCTTAAATTCCTGCACTCCCTAAACCTGAGAAGACAGATACCTGACGTCCCTCTCCCCCGTTTTACTTGGCTTGATTATGAGGGTGGAGAAACATATGTATTGTTTCTCCTTCCTACACTTTCATTACTAGACTTTCATTATCCCAATATCACGTCAAATAATAAAAAGGAGGTTTGCCTAGTTGATAGTCCATGCATTTGTTATCCTTTGCCAAGGAAACGCAAACTCTTTTCTGGAAAACATCTTCCTTCTTTGGTTAACACTTACAGACTGTAACTAAGATCTTAGTTCTTAAAATAAGAACTGCATGAGTTTCCAGAATCTAGTTGTTACTACCTTGTCAGAAACATTCATTATTCTATTTAGACAAATCAGATGGATTAAAACTCACAAAAGCAAATTTTGCATTAATCTATTTCTTCTCCATTTAAGTCTCATGTATAGAGTACAATGCAGTATACAGTGGTTTAGGGAATGCTTACTATAATATTGCACAATAATTCATATTCTCTTGTTCACCTTAACTTAATTTCTATCCTATGTCAACTGTAATACCAAAAAGCAATAATATTCAAGGAGGGGGAAACTCCAGGGAAGAGTAAGTGGCTAATGAAAATGTCTAAAAATCTAGGAGTTATTGTGTAAAGCAATTGCAGACACTTAGGAGAAAAATTAATTGTCATGCTCTAGATCATTATTAGTTGCTATAAGAGGGGTTAGGAAGGAGCTTCCACTGTGGATGGTTTTCCATGACCTCCTGTTAACACTTTCATTTTTCTGTGAACTGAGCATCTAATACTGGCTGTCACCCAAATAAGGCCCTGGACTACAAGAGGGATCTGGGGACAAGGCAAGAATTGCACTATATTATTTTTCTTAATTTTTCAAATGATCTGATGCACACACTACTTGCATCAAAGTAGTCTAAGTTGTAACTCTGTTTTAAAAAACTAAAATATCAGCATTTTCTACCCACAGGTAGACTGTGCTGACCAAATACAAATCAATATTATTTCGCTCATTTGTCTGATCGTGCAAGCAAGGCAGAGAGGTCCAAAGTTACCTTCTGAAACCCTGAGACACTGGTGTTTGAAAAGTCTTTATCCCAAAAATGCTTGTGCTTCACAGCAGTAACTACAGAACTGATGGTGCCTGGAGCATTTTACTACTAAAAGAAATATTTAAAAATTCAACTGTACACAGCTCGGGTAGAGAGAACCAGTAGATAGACATCTTCTTAGAAGCATATGCCTTCTGAAATGAACATGCAAAAATAAAGCCTAGTGTTCTAAAGGAAGTATTATAATTACTCTCTTCCTTGGCCTGAGAAATCATATATTAGCCTTGTGAAATTTCTGTGCTTGAAAGACTTGAATAAAATCTAAACCCTTAAGTTTTTTCATAGTATGAGCACCTATATGTATAACTAGTGTTGCCTAAAAGCTTACTAATAGGAGTCCTGCCCTGCCTGAACTGACAGAAACAAATAGGCTCTTATCACATGAGTGCAAGCTGTTCCACTTCACTGTATCAGGAACAAAATACAGATGGTGTAGATGGAAATTGCATTTGAACATTTGAACTTGAACATTTGTACTCCAAAACTGCCTCTGTGGGTTTGGGATTAATGATCATCCTAATCTACTGTTCTTTTAGTCCAACTCATGGCTCTATCCAGCACTAACTGGGAGATAGCAACCAGCAATTTAGTAAGGTGTAACACTACTCATTTCCTTCTTTCAAATGAAACTGTTTTAAAGAAAAAATGTTCCAACAGGTGGCAGTTAACAGTACTGCCTTTCTGTTGTTGCCAAAATTTCTGTGGCTCATCATCCATAGTGCACTGAAAAACAAACCTAAATGTTTCTGGGAAGTCTGCCTGTTGCATTTGTTGGGTTTTGTTTGGTTTGGGGTGGTTTTTTACTTCCTTCTGCCAGAGAATTTTCAGGTATGTCAAACAGGGCTGCCAAAGGGTTGGTCCACTTGGGTTAATTAAAGATGCAAATTTACAGACTGTAATCCTTTGATGCACCACTAAGTAGTGGTGTGAGCTTGGGAGAACAGGAATCACTTCTTGGTTCTGCTACCACCTTCCTATATACTGTTGAGCTAGTAAAAAAACAAAGGCAACTTTTCACAATGATAGGCTATTAAGGCATCATCTTTTTATGTTGGGATGGAATTATATTTTAACACACTAAGAGAGGTTTCTGCTGTTTAAATAAACATGGTGTAAGCAGTTATCAGTGTAAAATTGCTTGTCTTCCTCTAAATGAGGGTAAAGATGTAGGCTGAGCACAAACTGTTCAACTAGCTAAAAGGAAGCTGTTTCAAATGGAGTTTGAATTTTAAGAGTCAGCTCCTGTTCAATAGCATTTGTCACTAACTTTGTGCAGATCTAAACACAAGCCTTAGAAACCAAGTGTGTTTTAGAGTGTTTTAAACAAAGCTCCTACACAATGTGTACTGGAAAGGAGGATTGCTCAGAGGAGTAATGACCCCCAAAATATGTAACACTGCTTACTGCCAGGCCCCTTATGAAATGTCTCATGTGCACTACTTACAGATGATGAGCTGTTGCCCACAGAGTTGGCACCCAGATATCCTTCAGGAATCTGCAGTCAGCTTTAGATTAGACAATCTTGAATATTAACTGTAAACCTGGTTTCTGCTAGTACTGATTCCAGCAAAGTATTTCTCTGAGCCCTGCTGCAGGTAAATTTGACAGCTTCTCTGAGCCTTTGTTATGAATGAAATCAATCAAGAATTGCTTTTCTTGTCTGCTTAGAATGAAAGGCAGTCTGGAACTAAAAATCTCTGGAAGGAATTTTATCCCTTGTGTGTACGAAAGATGCCCAGTATGTTGGACATTCTCAATGCTATTGTAATATTGCTATTAAATAGTTAAGTTTTTTTTCCTCTTCTTATGCACCATAGTTTTAAGCTGAAGTGGCAAGCTCACTACACTAAGTGAAAACTAACTAATGTGTTAATTCACTTAAATGGAAATAAGATTTGACTACCATTTTTGGTCTCACATATACATCCATGTTTTCCTTGCTCTCTTGCAGAATTCTTGGCCCAGAAGCCCTTGTACTGCTTCAATCTGACATCCATGCAGGATTCAGAAATGATCCTTGCTGCCACTTTTCACTTCTATGCTGACAAACGCCCTCGGCATCGGGAGGTGTTTTGTAAACGTTCCAAGAACTCGTCCTGCCGCCTCCTTCACCTGCCTCCAGTCCTACGGCTCAACCTGGTGTTCCAAAGCATTCACCAGAATTCTGCCTATGGGCTAGTGAAAGGGAATATCACCGTGCTTCTTCAAAGGCGAGGGGCTTGGCATGCAAAGGACATTTCTCACATTGTAAAAGAATCAAAACGAGTTGGAGAGCTCATTCTCTGTGCTGAGCTTGATTCTGGGGAGAAGCACCAGAGCTTCCCCGAACAAGTTGCCAGCCATTTACCTTATATACTAGTTTATGCCAATGATCTTGCAATCTCTGAACCTAACAGTGTGGCAGGCACCCTACAGCGTTATGACCCATTCCCTCCCAATGACGGGGACCCAAATCTGTCCCCTAATGCTTCTACTGACACTCGAGTTAGGAGGGATACGTACCTTGCCAGCTCTATTCAGAACAATGAGTTGCCAGAAGTAGATTATAACAACAATAAATACAACAAACATGACATATGGGAGAATGCCTACAGATCCTTGAAACCAAAAGCCTCACGCAAAGATCGAAGGAGAAAAGGGCAAGAAAATACAGAAACACTTAAAAAGTCTCAGGTGCTAAATTTTGATGAGAAAACGATGAAGAAAGCAAGGCGAAAACAATGGAATGAGCCAAGGATTTGTTCAAGAAGATACATGAAAGTTGACTTTGCTGATATTGGCTGGAATGAATGGATCATATCTCCCAAATCATTTGATGCTTACTACTGTGCAGGTGCATGTGAATTTCCAATGCCCAAGGTAATATGCCTTTTTATTCTTGTCAGCTTGTCAGCTTAGGCCTACTGTTCTGCTTATCCAACTACTTCTTTAATTAGAATTTCCATTTGATTTTTACCTTTTTTTGTTGTGTTTTGTTGCCTTGACCAAAAGAATTTAAACAATGTTGTTTCCATCAACTTAGTCATCAGAGTGCAGAAAGATTGGCACTTTTCTTCAAATGCAATCTGAAGAATAGGAAAAAAAATCTCAGGTTTATCTTATAATTTCTCATCTTATATCTTGAAACCATAGCATAAAGATTTTTGTAGCTTATGAAAATATGGTTATACACACTAAATCATCCAAATAGTTTATTGTAGTGACAGGAGTATGAAGTATTATATGCTAATATTAAAACAAGCTACTCTATCAGCATATTTCTGGATTCCACTTGTAACACTTCAGAAGAAAAATAAAGAGTAGTTACACTGAAGTATTTTTAACTTCAGGAAACTGCTTGTCACTTTTGAAAACAATAATACTGTTTAAGATGATATTTGTGTATCTAAATTCTAAAAATGTTAGATAATCCTTCTGGAACAAAAATGTTGATTTACCTTATGTCTCTAGAAGTGCCACAAAATTGGCTCTAGCACTCTAAAATAAGCATACTGAATTCCTCCTATAGAAGCAGTGTGAAATTTGCCATTGGAGAGGTAAACATTTGTCTCACTGCCACTCTGCTCTATGGCAAGAAGTAGAAGGGCTGGTAGTCCTATGTTGGACAAGAACTTTTAGGATTTTATAAGGCTTTCAAGTAAAGGCAGAGGGGAGGATCTGAAGCACTTAATAACCTGCATATTTAGAAACTGTAATTATTTTGCAATTCTGCCTACAAATGGCCTGATTATTTGTTCAACTGACATTTTTGTATGTGGTCATTTGGCACATAAACAAAGAATAGTGCTGTGCAGCACAGAATTTCAAGGCTCTGAGACAGGAATCTGCCCTACTTTACATCCAGGGAGATTGATGTATGTTTGTGTTGAAACAAGTAGTATAATTCCAGGAAGAGTAGATATGTTTGCTAGTTTTAAGTCCAGGAACAGTGGAAATCCAGATTTCATGGTAGGATGTACAAATCAGACCACATGTTCTTGTATAGCTGGCCAATGCTGAGCCAGGTGTACATAAATTGATACATGGTCTGGCAAAAATTAAAGCTTGCACGGACTCACATTCAACTTCACTTTGTTGTTGTAACACAAATTGATCATGCAACAAAATCACCACTTACCCAAAACAAAAGACAGTCTGGGAATATGGGTCCTTTGCCATCGACTCACAATCTAATGCACAATTCACACACAACAGCATAAACCCAAGAAATAAAAAATCCTCAACCAAACAACAACTCCACCCTTCAAAAAAGAAAAAAAGATGCATTTAGCACATCTGGCTTCTTGTGAGCAAAACAGCATTACACAAAAGCTGGTAGGGCCAAAAGAGAGAGGATCCATTTCTAGCTTGAATAGTTAAATAAGGTTATATTGCTCACTTACTTAATATCTTATCTAGAAACATAAGCATTTACTTGATATATAATAAGGATTCCCTTTCACTATTATCTTGATGCCCAAAAACCAAAATAAAGAAAAAGAAATCCCAACTGAAAAAAACCCCCAGAACATCCACCCCCTCCCAAAAAAAACAAACACAAACACCAGAGAAACTAAATCATTCACATTTTTTGATTTGGTTTGCTTTGAAAGAGGTCTACTACTTGTTAGCTTTGTATTTTTCACAGAAGATAAAAAGAAGCAGATTGAAAGCTGTAGCTTTTTTGGATGACTGTTTCAAAAGGAAGAGAGAGAGGATGCCAGCATGGATGAAGATTCAGTTCAGAGCATGAGAATTGCTTTATATTACTAAGGAAGACATTTGTTCTTTCACATATGCTGTAAGTCAGGAGAGTATCAAAGGCCAGATTAAAGCTATTCATAAAGACTTGGTCTGCACAATCAACTGATGATGGACAACAGACACCTTATTTCCAAAGTACCCTTTTAGAACTGTGGAGATAGAATTACATACCTGGCACGTATCATCACATTGTAGGTTTATTTTTTTTTTCTTTAGTATCAGTACATCATTCTGCACATCCACTTTAATAATTGCAAGTCTTGATTTAGATAGACACTCAACAGCTTAGTACAAATCTTCTCATAGTAAGTTCACTTACTATTCCCTGAACTGTGAGGAGAAACACGAGGTTATACGTATGGCTGGCTGCAGTGCTGCATTCACCAAATAAATTTCAGTCCTGCATGTCATAGAACCTGGTGTGTTGTATATAACTTAGCAGCCAGCATTTAAAACATTAGCACTTCCTCAGTGCCATTATTACTGGGCATTCAACTAATTATTTCAAGCTTTCTACTTTAGCACATTGGGACAAAGTTAAATGTGAAGCCTAGCCCATGATCACTGAGCACTGATGCCAGGTTTCCAGAAGGGCTGGAAAAATTCAGAGCCTGGCTGGACATGGGATGGGTGTGCTGTCTGGCTCTGCTGTGGATTTAGGGCTCAGGCAGCCAGATTCCATACAGAGTACTGCTCTATCATAAGCATTTTCCCTTCTAAGCAATTTTCTGCATAGCATATCCACATTCAGGCATTAGAAACATAATTAATGTTGTTGTCTTGGGAAACAGCTGCTCAGTCTAGATAGACTGTGTTCACATGTCTTTGTTCCTTGCAGATATTAGAGGCTGCACAGTGGGAGAAGATCCTTGTAGGATCTTCTGCAGGTTCATAGCCAGGAATCCTGTAAGTCTGTAACTGGCCACGAGGGCAGTAGTGGCTATAATGGGGGCAATAAATGCTGTTGCAGTAGCACATTGTGATCTGCAGCTCTTTTAAATAACAACATAACACAGGTGCTAGGAACAGTTCAGGAGGTTTTTAATAATGGCTAAATTAAGAACTTGATTCTAGAAGCTCTGATTCTTTGAATTTCTGTATTCTGCAGTTGCTTAAACACTCAAATCTCCTGTTTCTCTCTTGCAGTCCACATATGCTGATATGACCAACATGGGTAGAAACTGATTTCTACTTCACACAGCAGCTGAGACCACCTCACTGCTGCTTGCCTGTGGACAGCTTTGAAATCTAAACATGAAGGAGAGCAAGAGAGGGCAAGCTGCTGCTAATTATGCTAACATGCTAATTACAGAAAGGCACTGTGCAGGATTGTGTCACTTGTTGGGACTTGGTCGTAGGGACACTGTCTTGAAGGGTCAAGGACAGATTTCATAGTTACTCCTTATAATGGCTTCATTAAGGAAGATCTGAAAGCCTTAATGGCAGTTAAGGTTGAATATGATTTGCTGATATGTTACACTTAATGCAAACATTTCAAAACTGAATTATCCTAAAAACACCTCCTTTGTTCTATCCATGGACTGCATAATTTTTCATGTTGAAATGGAAAACCATGGTTTTTGTGGCTATAACCCCAAACAGGTTATAGATGTAAAGCTGCTGTGAATACTCACTTCTTACTTTTCCCAGCTTCCCAGCCTTTTTTTCCTTCTCCCAGTTTGAGGCTAGCCCATGGGGAAAAAAAAAATTTAAAAAAGCCTGGTGATGAAGGCAGAGGGACACAAAGACCACAGATATTAACTATTTGCCATGCAGTTATGATCAGAAAGGCTCTGTCAGGGTCCTTGACTATTCTATACTCTCTCCTGTGTACACTACTTCTGGAGTACTCTGCTCTTTGAAAAGAAAGTGATCACTCCAGGAAAAAGTAACTAATTTCAGGTTAGCATACATGAGAAAAAATTCTATTGGAACATAGGGATAGTTATTTTGGAAATACTTAACGTAGCAAATTTTCTAAGTCAGACAAGAGGTTAAGAAAACAAAATATAGCATCTAGCAACTGAGAACTATGCCCCAGTTTAGGCTTCTTCTTCTGCATGTCTGCCTCCAGCATGTAGCAGGTACATTCAGGGACATTTTTCTTCAGACCTCTGGCTGCTGGCTGTGCCACCAGTGCCCTCCTCTGGTATTTATGAAGGTAGCCTAAGGAACACCAAATATCTGTTGGATATATCCAGCTCAGGAAAGCTGGAAGTGTGAGGGACTGGCTGAGCTACATGGCCCTGTAACTCAAACAATGAAGTATTTGCTTTACTGAGAAACAAACAACTGCATAATTGTTGTGATTTTCCAAGTTCACATAGGAAACTGATTGCTTAAATCAAGTCCACCTAGGAAAGTGACTATTCATAAATGAAGTTGTAACTATTTCCTTCTCTGTTCTAGATTGTCCGGCCATCAAATCATGCTACAATTCAGAGCATTGTGAAAGCAGTAGGAATCATTCCTGGCATCCCAGAACCCTGCTGTGTTCCTGACAAAATGAGCTCACTCAGTGTCCTGTTCTTAGATGAGAACAAAAATGTTGTTTTAAAGGTATATCCCAATATGTCAGTTGAAACTTGTGCCTGCCGATAAGTTCGTACAAACACACCTTTAACAAGGCCTACAAATCCTGCCTGACTGCTCTGGGAAGTTGTAAAGGAGAAATGAATCCACTTGTGTTGATGAAGCAATGCAAGCCTCCAATTCCTCTACAGAAAGCACACGGAAAGACTAAAACAACGCACGTGCTTGCCTCGAAGGATGGGCTGTACTATCATTTGTCTCTCATATTCATCCTCCAGGAATTCCGTACTTCAGATACCTTCCTAACCCACCTAGCCAAGATACCTGGTGTTTAGAAAGAAATTTAAGTGTAAAGTTTTCCATAATCAAAGGACTAAAATATGTTTTTATATGTTATTTTCTGACTATTTTATCTCTTCAGTTAACCGAGAAGATGGGAAGTGAACTTGCAAAGGCAGGCTTATTTTAGAATATCACTTTTGTACACAAATCAAAAGTTTTTGCCTAAAATACTCATACTCTTAATATGCATATTTATACTGAGAAATGCTGTAATAAAGGGCTTAAAATGTATATTTTCTTCAGGATTCAAGTATAGTTCACTGCATAAGTTTTCATATAAACAGTATGTTAATATAGTCATTTTTGGTTACCCTTCCTTAATATATAAGTTGTTCTACAAAAGACATGTAATATCCCACATTTTTGGTTTGCTGGATAATTTCAGGTTGTTAAACATATTCTCTGAGTAACACATACAGTATAGTAATATGTTGAAATACTAAAATAAAATAACCAAGATTTATATTTTTGTAAATTATTCTTTATATCCTCTAGATTGTTACATGCTTTTAACAAAAGCTAATAAATTAAAGGTACAGTAGTATCTAAAAATATTTGATTGTTTTTCTATAAATGCACTCTCCTACATTCTGTTAATTAGATGGAAACTTGTAAATACATGTTAAGCTTGTCATAATGCACTTCAATAGATTAAAGACAGAAGGAAATACTACGATCATCCAGACCGACCTCCTGCATAGCACAGATCAAAGAACCTTGCTCAGCAGTTTCTGCACCATGCATTATGGAACTTCTGTTTTAAGCTTGGGAATATCTTTGAAAAACATGCATAAATTTGGCTTTAAAGATTTCATGTGATAGAATATCTCTACTGGACTACAAGTAGTTGTTCCAAAAGTTAGTGCTCTTTGTTCATATGCAGTGGCTTAATCCTAGACTGAATTTGATGAGCTTTAGCTTCAATTCAATGGATCTTACTGTAACCTATTTCATTAGATCCCTTTTATCTATTATCCAAAATACTTTCACTGTGTATTTTTAGTATAGAGAGTAGGGTCAAGTTACATTTTGGCTAAGATTTAAATAGATTGATTTCTTATTCTAAGCCTTAAAACAATTTCTCACAGCTCTCTTCTGAACTCTTTCCAGAACTTTCATTAACTTTCTTTTCAAACAATGAACATCAAAATGGGAAACATTTGGCAGTGGTTCCATTGGAAGTCTTTATAGAAATAAAGTCTCTGCATCCCTCTAACTCCTACACAATCCCCTGTTGATACATTTATGGTAGCCTTTTAACTACAGCAGTCTTTTAAGAGCTGGTGTTCCCATCATGGTGTCTGTCAATCCTCTGGGTGTTCTAGGACACACTTGCCACATACTTCATTTTCACCCACCTGCTGTACAATAGCATAAAGAGACCAAGAGTGGAAGAAACATCTGAAGTTCCTAAGGTAGCACAAATTATGATAAGGAGTGCTTCCTCCTCAAGAAAGAGTCTAACCTTAGGCACTACCTTGTCCTAGATAGAGCTGCTTTTTTTAAGGGGAGGATACTACATGCACTTCCTTCTGAATAACAAATAACTGGAAGGCTCCTGTCCTACTAAGGTTCTGGGTATCTTCTGCCACCAATTTTCTGTGCTCAGGTGGTGCAGTTTTTCAGACAACAGAGGTGTGTAAATGTGGTACTTCCTGCTAACATACATAAAAGCAAGATTCAGCATGCATGGGAGCAGCATGGGAGGCTTTGCAAGGTTACTCTGGCAGCAGTTCTTGCTAATTCTTCCTAGGAAGCTCTGAATAAGAAGTAAAAATGGTGCCCTGTAGTGAGTGCCAGCTATGTCTAACAAAAGATCACTGATCAAGTTTGCAGTTCTTCTCCCAAAGTACTTTTTTACTTTGTAAATTACTACAGTAATTTACACTAGAACTACTGGAAAAAACCTTTGTATAGTGTCACTTTTAGAGATCTCCCTTAAAAAATTTACAATCTTGTGGTTTTATAAATCATGAGAAACACATCTACAATTGATAGAGTAATGGTAACATAGAAAGAAAAATTCAAAAGTTGTCAGAAAGTCATCATTCCTACAGAAAAGACATATGCATAACATTTTCAAAGTATCTTAAATCCATGTTATTTCTGCTCTCAATGAAAATCTACCCTTTTATGTAGCTCTAGTCTTGCTCCCATTTATCACTAGATCTGAAAATCCTGACATATTAACTTAGTGTGCTTATATTCTCATCCATAGCATTTTGTTTTCCTTAAGGAATACTTGCTATATCTTGAATTAGTCCTTGGATAAAAACATTTTTTCCAAGATGTGCTCATGCAAGCTATTATGGCAAGAGATGCCACACTGTGATCTAAGGTCAATAGGACATATAGAAAATGCTACTGCTGCACTCATAAGGACACCTACAAAACTCCAAGAGGTTAAGACTGCATTAAAAGTTCTGTTTGCAAAACTATATATTATACCTGTAAGTGTGATTGTTCTCAAAATATACCCTTGCTACACAAGTCATACACATCTCTTATTAGTAAAGCTTATTTCATTTGGAGTTTACCTGTACTGGTCAAATCTTCAATGCAAAAAAAGGCTTTCAACCACTTTTAGTGGCTTAAGTTACTCCTTTCTGGATCTTTGGAATTTGGATGTCCAATCTTTCTCTGGAAAGAGAAACTTTGCATTTAAAATGGCACAAATGCAGACAGCTGCTGCCAGAGGATGCTGATACCTTCACTGTCTTGGTTCCTACAGATCTTTTTATTTATTTGAGCATCCTATAAACCATTCTGGTCAATGCTTGAGTTTATAGAGAAAGTTACTAGTGATAAACACAGGTCAAGATAATTCCACTAACTAATCCTAAAAGAAAATGGTATGAGTAAAGGCAGATAAAAAATGAAAACAGCTGATAGTAACCAGCAAAGTGTTAAAACACATTTTTTTAAAAACAAATCCAATTTCATTTTTTTAGGCCACTGTTTGATTTCCAGAGGTAACAGCAACAGCTACAATGTACCTAGGTTTTTGTGCAATATTCAATTTACTTGCCAAGGCTGTATAATTAAAATAAACCACTGGACAATATTAATGTGTCTCTGTATCACATAAATTTTAAAATGTCTCACTGCCAAACCTCAAAGAACAGCTTTCAAAAGGTATTTCCACTGAGTTAAGCTGTTCATTGTAAAGTTTCTGCAAAGCTGACACTTGGCCTGACAGTATTTGACACCTTTTTGTGTGAACTTAGAGTCTGTATATAGCAACCCCAAAGTATTTGCAGGAGGAGAAAGGTGTTTATACAGATCATTTGATCTAGCTGCACTCTATGTAATCAAAATTAATTTTAAAGTAGACAGATACAGAGCTTCAGGTACCGAGTCACAAGGAATGGAGGCTGCTCCTACTGAGTGCAAGACAGCACCCTTGAAAGTCATAACCCCTAAAAGTTTTGTGGCTGTCATGGATTTGTGATGCAGTTTGAGCACCCAGCATGATGCTATGTAATGGCAGCCAGTGAAAGCTTTGGAAAGATACACACTGGAGCAGTGAGCCACATAAAGAAAGGATATGTTATTTCTGCCAGTGGCACTGGTGGACTGCCACTAGAAAACTATATATAGCCCTACGTTTCACCTTGTCAAGAAGACCTTCAAATTCTGAAAGAGAAACAAAAAAGAAGGAAACAAAACAGGGAGAGAAAATGTCTTTTGCTACTGAAAAGAACAATCTGTTTATCAGAAAGAAAACTGAGAAGTAACTTGATTACACTGTGCAAGCACTTTCAAAGGGGAAAATTTCAGTGCTATGGGACTCCTCAAACTAGCCAGAAAGTTACAAGAATTCCTGTCTAGAAGGTAAAGTCAGGCACAATGAAATCAGGAACATGGCATGAAGGTTTTTTTAGCTGTAGGTGATAATATTTTAGCAACAAAAATTGAAGAAATTTTTGATTCTTTGGCATGTTTAGGTAAAGTCTGTTGGCACTTTAAAAGTTATGTTTATCCAAACACAAGCAATTTAACTCTGCATATATGTAGGAAACACAAAGGCCCTGAGAAAATATAAGTCTTGCTATGCAAGAGACCAGGATCAATGCCAAATAATCCTTTTTGACTTTGTCATAGGTACATAATTAACAAGGGTCTTGGATCCAAGTTATCACTTGAACAGACAATAAGAAAGCACTGCATAAGTCTTGGATCACTTTTAATGCTGTGAATCCACTGCTAAAAAACAAGAGAAATGGCCAAAAAAGGTAAAACATGACCACATGTTTACAATGAGATTTTTGTTAATGTAAAAGATCAATATTCTTCAAATTTTTTGGCGTGTCTAAAATATGAATTGAGTAGTTCTTAGAAAAAATAATGCATTATTAGTATAGAAAAAGCAATTACATATGATCAGATTAAATCATAATACATTCATTAAGATAAACCTGGTTTTTCTTCTGCATCATGAGAAATTCATTTTCCTTGGCCTGTTCTTCTTATGCACACTATATCTTCTTCAGAGATAACCTTCTCTATCTTCAAAAGGACTTTTTACTTTCCATGTGGCCTTGTAAAGCCTAGTTGTGTCTTCATTTTGAGGTTGCTAAAAAAAATTACTGGTTGTTCTTGGACTGCATTGACCATCATGAATCTATGAAATACATTACATAAGATACTATAAAAACAAGCCTAAATTCCCATACACCAAAGGAATGAAAATGGACAAGCCTGCAAACAACATGAAGCAAACTTGACACAAAACAGATATTTCACTGTGTACAAACAATAGCTCTTGGCTGATAAACGGAAAGAAGTTTTAAGGTTGTTTGTAATGTCATGAGATCATGTCTTGCAGAATCACAGGTCTCCATCAAACTAAGGGGCATTTTCTAATCATAAGTGGAGGGATTGTATAAATGATTTGTGATATATTATTTGCTAATAGCATGATTTTGTTCTAGGTTTGTATTTTCTAGTCTTGCTGAAAACAGTGTAAACCTCTGCGTCCCTAAGAAAGCTTCTCTCTGTGTTGGCAAGGAAATGATAGAAGAATGTAATTAAGCAAAGATGACCCTAAAGTGAAATGTGGATTCTTTACAATATACAATGTCCTTCCCACCAGCCACATGTGTTTGTCAGATGTTTACAGAATCTTCATTAACTAAGAGCTTTGCTAGATAACAGAAGCTGAAGCATGGCATCAATGACTCTGATAAGGACAAGTGTACGACCAATCTGCTTGACAACTGACAAGAGGCTGGGGTTTGAAGCAGACTGCAAAAAGAGCACCAGAAAGTGATTTGCAAAGGGCATTCCAGTTGTTTGCCTTACATCTTCTTTCCTCTGTCAGTATTGAAGCAAGATTTGCAATCAGCTAAAATACCCTTGTCCTCTTGTCTCTCCACCAGAAAGTAAATATAGAAGAAATGTGCTGTTTTGGAGTATTAGCTGCACTGTCTGTTTTCAACATCATTGCTTGTTTGACAAGAGGCAAGCCTTTGGAAGACTGGGACAGGCTGTCAGGTATGGGAAAGTCTGATGCACACTTTCATCCTGGGGAAGCAGAAGATGAGACCCATTTCAACTTTAAATCTTTCTTGGAGAATATGAAGATGGATTTACTGAGGAGTTTGAATTTGTCAAGAGTCCCCCCACAAGTGAAGACCAAAGAAGAACCACCACAGTTTATGATTGATTTATACAACAGATATGCTGCAGACAAGTCCTCCATCCCTGCATCCAATATTGTAAGGAGCTTCAGTACTGAAGGTAGGAAAAGTCCTCAATATGTGGACTACAATTTTTAAAGAACTAAATTAATAGTAAATAGTCAGATTCTTTTAAAATTCGGAAGAAACCAGTTCCTACCTTCCACAGATTCTTTAGAAATTAAACATTAAAATTTTAGATTGTATTCTTACTATATAGTTTCTTTCAATCCTTAAAAAATGCAATAACCTTTAGTTTTCTTCTTTGATATTTTCACTGTACAGTATTCTCTTCTCAAATGCTTGAGCTAAGAGGATGCACCAAATAACAAGGTTTACATGAAGCATGTTTCTCAATCCTAGATATTTCAAATTGAGTTTTTATGTTAGCATGCAAATTTTGATCACCTATAATTGAGACTGGTGCTAGAAAGCTTCTCTTTCTGGTGGGCTCTGAACATATTTAAAAACTACAGCAACTAGGTGAGAAATTTGTTGCTGGATCCAAACAAGGACCAGCACTGCTCCTCCAAAATTCTGGGTTAGACAAAGATTTACATGGAAATGGCTAGTCATACTTATATCAACAGAAAAGATTGAAGATTCCTGACTATATAACATTAAATAGACTTATAAAAAATCATCAGGCAGTAAAAAAGTTAGAAGTAAGTGCAATCCTTGTTACAAAAATGAAGCAGGGAGAAACGAAGTTTCTTTTTATATGAAAAATAGACATACACAGGCAACAGCACTACGGAGAACTCCAAAGTCCCAAATTAGTGTCCCTAGTCCTGAAATAGAAAGAAATCTCAACAATAGGACCTAGATGATAGTTTCCATATCTTGCTCTCCCCTCTCACTACTTTACAGGGTAAATGATCTGAAGAAATGGCAGCAACAGCCAATTAAAATTGCCCTAAAACCCAGTCATGATTAAGCAGTTAGTTTACATTGAGCATTAAATGGACATCAGGGATGACTTTTAAATACTTCCAATCTGATCTTCCAGCCAAATACCTGCCCCTCCCAAAGCAGACTTGCTGGTACTGCACACAGATTTGCAGAGAACCAACAAACGTGAACAAATCCACACAAACTCAGGGAGTCCAGCCTGGAACAGTCTGGGACCTGGGCATGAAATGTTATTTATCACCAAGACCCAGTTCAGATAGAAACTGGAACTTCAGTTCAGGACTTTCAAAACCTTTTTTATTTCCCCAAACTCCCAGTCTAAGCTGCTTTCAAACTTATCTGAAGACAACAAAAGCCTCAGCACAGCCAGTTCTTAAAGACACTTATACATGTATATTAGAGCAAAAGAGTAGGAAATCATTGGTTTTTTTACAAATTCTTTGTGTAAAAAAGATCTTTAGCAAATTGCTAAATCTGAAAACTCTGCACTTTCCTTATTTATGTACTTAATACTGCCCACCATCATCCATAGTTTGTTCTAGGCAGCCTCTTTATGCTTCCCTCCACACACTCACCTGGCTATGCAATCACAGTAAAATACTACCAACACCAGGGACTTCCATTTCCTCTTTTCACTCTCTGTCCTTGAAACTTGGCCAGAAGACAGGATTTTTCTTTTTTTTTTAATGCTGTGTTATGTGTTATAATGCTCTTATTTTATCCCCAAAATATATCCTGAGTCTTTTAAAATCAATTACTTGGACAGTCAGAAGCACTGTAACCACGTTTTAATTTCCTATTGCAGATGTTGTTTCTTTAGATTCACCAGAAGAAAACCCATTTCAGAAACACATTTTGTTCTTCAACATCTCTATTCCACAATATGAGGAAATCACCAGAGCTGAACTGAGAATTTATATCTCCTGCCACAGGGAAGTTGGGTCTCTCTCTAGGCTGGAAGGCAACATGGTAATTTATGATGTTCTAGATGATGGCCACTGGGAAAACCCAGAAAGTACCAAATCTTCCCTTGTCTCCCACAATATCCAGGAATGTGGTTGGAAGATGTTCGAAGTGTCCAGCGCTGTGAAAAGATGGGTCAGGGCAGACAGACTGGAGACTAAAAATAAGCTAGCGGTTGTTATAGAGACTAAATCTCTGAGTGGTTTTACTTGTGGGAAGTTGGATGTCAGTGTTACCCCTGACACAAAAAACCTGCCCCTGTTAATAGTGTTCTCCAATGACCGCAGCAACGGGACAAAGGAGACCAAAGTGGAGCTCCGTGAGATGATTGTTCATGAACAGGAAAGCGTGCTCAAGAAACTAGGGAAGAATAATACCTCGTCTGAAGAGGAACAGCAGGGAGAGGAAAAGGCCATCAGTGGATCCCACCTGCATTCCTCCAGAAGCAAGAGAAGTGTTGGAGCCAACCACTGCAGGAGAACTTCCCTCCATGTGAACTTTGAAGAGATTGGCTGGGATTCCTGGATCATTGCACCAAAAGATTATGAGGCTTTCGAGTGTAAAGGAGGCTGCTTCTTCCCTCTGACAGATAATGTCACCCCAACTAAACATGCTATTGTCCAAACTCTGGTGCATCTCCAAAATCCAAAAAAAGCCTCCAAGGCCTGTTGTGTTCCAACCAAACTGGATTCAATCTCCATTCTTTATAAAGATGATGCTGGTGTGCCCACTTTGATATATAACTATGAAGGGATGAAAGTGGCAGAATGTGGCTGCAGGTAGTATACAAGGCAGAATCTCTAAAAATAGGAACATCCCCTTTTTCTGTCCTGTGTAAATCTGTACAATAGTGATGCAAATGAAGACCATTACAAACAAGGTTTGGAACAGGGTATGGGGCTGGTTGTTGTTGCTGCTTGTTTTAAGGGAAAATTGGCATTTAAAGAATGGCAATCTTTGTAAATAGCCTGCATTATATATCATGGCAAAGTGAATACTGGATTAAAATATTGTGAGATTGAATGAACTATGCATTATCTGGTGACAGTGATACAATGTCAATGCCTTATTTCAAACTTTCTGTTTAATCAACTGTATTTAGGTCACAAAATAGAGGATTTTCAGTGAGGGTTTAGAATGTCCCGCAAATGTTTAACAGCTCTCGAAATCTAATTCTCTCGGTCAACTCTGACATTTTCAACTTCGGTAAAACTCAGTAAATGGAATGTTGTCTGCATGATAAAGTCAGGAATCTAAATCCAGGAAGCCTTTCCTCATATCAGTAATCTCAGAGGCTTTTACAGACAAATTATTTGTTCCTGTAAGTGAAGATTTGCAGTATTCAAAACAGAAGAGACTCTCACTTATTTCATTCCCAAGTTTCCTTCTGTGGGTAGCAGGTGCCTTAGTCTCAGCTTTCTTATCCTCAATGTCCCTATTTTTACCCCTTTATGGCACACACTTGAATGATAAGAAGTGCAGCCTTCCGCTTCCAAGACACTGTTTCCTAGGAGGAGCAGCTGCCCTTATCGCCGCACAAAGATAAGGAGCCACTTTGACCTACTGCATATTCTTAGTATTTCTTTGCAAGAACATGCAGTCAAATGATGTCCAGCCTTAGAAGCTGTATCCTAAGAGCAGTGGGGGTTGGCAGAGCTCAGCACTTTTGAAAAGCTCAGCTGAGGCTGCTTATTTAGAGGCCTAAATTTGTTGTTCAGAGTCTGGCATGAGGTTCTGATTTTGTAAAAATTTCTTCTTAGGAGAAACTCTATTTTGCATACAAAATTCTTTCACCCCTTAGAAGTCTGGGAAAAATGGAAAACTTCTATCTATCTATGTCCTATTACATCGCTGTATGAGAAATATACTATCATACTATCATTCTTCTGACTTCAGTTTTATTTTCACTAAACAAGGACACCATCTTTCCTGCAATTAAAGTAGACTCCTTTGATGCTAATGGAGGTTGTGCCTGTAAAAGGACAAACTGTCTTAAACTGGTTGCAGGTGACAGGGGTAAGTGCTGTACAACATCACCATAGTGCACCTCACTTCTACTCCTTAACCACCTTACACACATCTACCTGAGACCCCTTTTGAACCAAATCCTTAACAGACTTTGCATCCATTCAAAAAGGTGAAGAATATTGATGAGGCAAAAATCTAAACAGTACCCTAATGTATGGAAGCAACAGGATTTAAATCGATACATGTGTTTTGAATTAGGACAGCCTGTGGGCAAGACGAATTCATTTGGCATGAACAGGTCAGCTTGAAATCCAATACACAGTTTATTTACTATTGTTAACCTAATACAGAGCAAATAGCAGGTGAGTGTGAGCAGGGCAGTTGTAATTCCATCAAGAACTGCTGGTTAGATCACAAACCATGAGCACAAAGCACGATTCACTAGAATTCTTGAACTGATTTATAGTCTTTTTCTTTAGAACTGGTCTGCAATTGGATCAGATCTGAGATCTGAGTCCATGCAAACTCCATACATCCCTAGCTGCATGCCATTAACCTCTTAAACTTCCCACAGCAGTAATCATTTTTGCCACTGACTTCTGTCATCTTGCAGTCATCATTATGTCTTCCTCCTGCCACAGCCCTCTGTATTGTCTCCCTATTTTGTTCCTCTCTCCTAAGCTCCTGACATTTTGCAAAACTTCTCTTAAGTGACAGAAGCAACCAAACATGCACTTGGTTTGATCACATTAGAAGACTTATTCACCCTCGTGTCAATGTAATTGTAGCTAAGTGCCCTCCAGTCATCTAAACACAAGGTCCTAGTTATATTTTAACTTCACTGAATACAGGACTTTGTCCATAATTAAATGAAAAAAATGGAGAAGGGGAAAAACCTTCACAGAGAGAAATTCTCAAGAATCGAGGGAGGACGGGGGGTGGGGGTGGGGAGGTGTTACATTCTGAAGACAAACATCAATCTTTATTTCCCTTCTTTGGATGGGAAAAAAACTACCCCAAACCATTTTTGTCTCAAAACCTCAGCTCCTAGCTATGCTCACAGAATTCCAGAGAAGACTTACAGATCCCATCACAACACTGGACTAGAAGTTGCTTTTATATTCAGTGAAAAAAATCAATTGTGCTTCCAGCCAGCTTTAACGATCATACACCCACTGGCTTAACATTTTGGTTGGCATGGTAGGAAAATAAAACCTGAATCTTTCCATAGGGTAATGAACAGGGTCAAGATGAAATGAGAGCCCAGTAGTGACTACAGCTGCTGCTACTTTCAGCATGGCTGAAGTGCGTGTCAAATTGATGTTTGGCTTTACATTTAGCAGCTTGATTTATGTAGTTTTGCACATTTAATTTTAAATAATTGTTTGAGATCACTCAGGTTTCAAATGCTTTGGGATGCAAGAAGTCAGCCAAGTGGTCATGATGGTTCTAGAGAGTCCACAGGCTGTGAAGAACAGGTAAGCATCTTGCCCCTGCTTCAAGCTGGGCCCCACTGGACGCTGAGAAAGCCCTCCCTCGTGACTGGATTGTGAATGTTGACCAGCAGCTTGCTGTTACTGAGGAGCAGGTTGGGGCTTGTGCAGTGTTCAGCAGATGCACAGTTAGAATGAAAACTTATTCATTTACCATAAACACAAGGCCAATGTCACAGCTGCACAGCTCAAGGGGCCAGACATCAGCATGGGGGGGCAGCAGTGCCAGGAGGAGCCATCAGGGGCCTCAGGCTCTCAGCAGAAACTTCTCAGCAGGAATTGGATCGGTTTGGGGGCAGAGCCCTCTGCAGGAATGGGATGGGTTTGGGGGCAGAACCCTCTGCGGGAATCGGATCGGTTTGGGGGAAGAACCCTCTGCAGGAATGGGATGGGTTTGGGGGCAGAACCCTCTGTGGGAATGGGATCGGTTTGGGGCAGAACCCTCTGCAGGAATGGGGTCAGTTTGGGGGCAGAACCCTCTGCAGGAATGGGATGGGTTTGGGGGCAGAACCCTCTGTGGGAATCGGGTCGGTTTGGGGGCAGAACCCTCTGCGGGAATGGGGTCAGTTTGGGGGCAGAACCCTCTGTGGGAATCGGGTCGGTTTGGGGCAGAACCCTGTGTGGGAATCGGGTCAGTTTGGGGGCAGACCCATCTGCAGGAATGGGGTCAGTTTGGGGGCAGAACTCTCTGTAGGAATGGGATCGGTTTGGGGGCAGACCCATCTGCGGGAATGGGATCGGTTTGGAGACAGCCATTGTTGATGGCCACCAAACAAAGCCTGCTGTGGGTGTCTGAACCTCTCACTGCTTCAAATATAACCCCAGGATAGGAGGGCTTGATAGAGTATTTAATATTCAGTATTTATGATTGGCTAACTCTGCTTGGTGTACTGAACATGTAAATCTATCCAAAATGTAGGACACAGAGAATACAGAAAATATAATGCAAGCACATAATGTACCAATTTTTCAGGGACTGCATGTTTAAAAGTAAGTTTCTGAACTAGGTCAGGTTGCATATTTGTAATGCATTTTCTTGATGACCTCCTGAATCTTCTACTTATCTAGAATATAGTAGTTCATCTGTTCAGTGGAGCTATTCAATGTGAGTTTATCACAGCTGTGCTCCATAAACTGTGGTGACTCTCCACCTGCTCCTGGCTGAAATTAGAGAGATTTTAAAATGGGAATACACTTTTTCTACCCTTATTCAATCCTACATTAAAAATATAAATCATCTTCTCATTCTCTTTTTTTTCTTTTTCTTGATCACTGTAAAAATAGGGGGGAAGGGAAGGGAAGGGAAGGGAAGGGAAGGGAAGGGAAGGGAAGGGAAGGGAAGGGAAGGGAAGGGAAGGGAAGGGAAGGGAAGGGAAGGGAAGGGAAGGGAATATTTACAAAAAATCAAAATCTAACACATTTTGGATTTAAGTTTTTCTTATTATGAATGTAATCATTAAGCAACTCAGAATGCTAGTTTCATTTTCATAAAATGGAAATATTTTAATATTTAAATAATGTGAAAGAAAACTTCCAACTTCAATTTTAATCTATACAGGCTTGTATGGCGTAAAAACTGAAAAACCTTGGGACAAAAATCTAACATTACTTCTTTTAGCATGGGAATTAGAAAGGAATCTAAGGGTGTTATTATTAATTCTTCTTATTTCTCAGGGGCCTAGAAAGCCTACTCAGGAACAAGTTTTCCTTTGTACCAAACAGTACAAGAACAGAACAGAATAGACAGTCTTAGACCATACCTATGCGATCCAGTCATGCCTGTCACAGACAGCTATGAAGTAGTACTGACCCAGACTTGTACATCTATAAAAGGCAGTGAAGGTTTGTCTAGAAATACTTATTGAAGTCCTGGAAGCATTAAATATTTCATTAGCATAGTCCTGCGCTTGAGCTAATAAATTCTGCCTCTCAGTATTTGGAAGCCAGCTATCACCTTTAAATTAATTCTTATTCATACATATAATTTGAAAAAATGGCTGTATTAAAGGCTTTACTAAAACCAAAAGTAGTTTATTCCAACTTTCACCTTTATCCTGTTGGCATCTCTGCCAGTGAAAAGGGTGTTCTTGCTGCCACCTTCAGATGAGCCTCCTGCTACTGCGGCTTGTCAGTGTCCAAATATCTGCATGAGTCTGGTGGGGGAATGGTGGGACCAGCCGCATATGAGAAATGGGGAATACTGGAGCAGAATATAGAATGCAAACGCTATACAGCAAAACATTTAATCTTGTGCCTGTGGAAGATTTTTAGCATGTGATCTGAGTTATGCAGACTCTGCAAGCAGACTAGTCTGGGACAGAT